TTTGCACATGCAAGCAATTGTTTCATGGCTTTGCGTTAAAGCCATGCCTTTATTTGCCAAATCGATAATATGAAAGTTCTCCCGGTGGTGTGTACAGTTTTCATTCATCACTGGCAATTTCCGTAGCCAATAAATAGCCTGACAAGGTAGGGGTATGGCTTTCTTGCAATTAAAGAGCGCGCGCGCGCAGGACAATCTCTTTTATTAACTTCCAAAATACCCCGGTTACCACAATATATACTAATTTCTATCTCTTTTATTTTTCTATTTTATTGAGTCAGATCTGTTCATAGAGTATACTTATTGGTGAAAATTATTCGACCATTAAGCATTAGTAGTCTCTGTCTAATAAAACAGCCAAATCTATACAGGTATTGTAATAGCAGAGACAAGCTATGGCAATTTAAATTATTTGCAGATCTGCAAAAAAAAAAAAGAGATTAAGATGGTATTTCGTGGGAGAGGTATCTTCCTTGAAGTAATAACTATTGTCCGCCGTGGGAGATTAAAAGCCACTGCACCTATGTATGATTTGGGGAAAAAAAAAAAAAAAAAGCAAAATACAACGGCTGAAGTGGTGATCTCATGACTGGGTAATCCCAGCGATTTTTGGGAGGCTGAGGCGGTGGATCATGAGGTCCAGAGTTTCGGAACCAGCCCTTGAACACATGGTGAAACCCTGTCCCTCTGCCTAAAAACCCACACAAAAAAGCTGGTGCCGTGGTGGACTGCGCGCCTTGTAATCCAAGCTGACTCAGGCCCCTGAGGGCGGGAGACTGAGCCTTGAACCCCGGAAGCAGAAGGTTGCAGTGATGTGAGATCATGCCCACTTGCAACTCCAGTCTGGCGGTGAAAGAGTGAGACTCCGTCTTTAAAAAAGGAAAAAAAAAAAAAAAAGGGGAAAAGAAAAAACAAATAAAAATCTTAGCAAATTAGAATATATGGCAATGGACATCTATAAAAAAGAAAAAGAAAGAAAAACAAATAAAAGTCTTAGCAAATTAGAACGTATGGCAATGGACATCCATAAAAAAACAAACATCTAAGGCTCATCATACCTGGTGGTGAAATACTGAACACTTCCTCCCCCAGGGTGGAACGGGGCAAGGATGCCCACTCTCACCATTCTATCCCACATCAAATGCAGGTCTTAGCTTGTGCCACCAGCCCTGTGATCTCTAGGGCATCCTTTGCAAAGGAGTCATTGGGACAAAGATGCTAACGTTCCAGGCTCCAAGCAAGCTCCTTTCCCCAGGCTCTTCTCCAGGGCAAGGTGAAGAAAGATGGGGACTACACATCCATCGTGGATGGCTCAATCTTGTGACTTCCTTGGGGAAGACATATGAGCACACCACACCCACATGTCTCCACCAAACAAAGAACAGCCTCCCTGGACCTATATTTAGTTTAAAAATCAAAAAGCCTTCTCAGTAGGTAGCTAGCATAATAAGGATGCCTTCTTCTTTTTTTTAAAAGACAGGGTCTCACTCTTGCTCTGTTGCCCAGGCTGGAGTGCAGTGACGCAATCACAGTTCACTGCAACCTCAAACTCCTGGGCTCAAGGGATCCTCCTGCCTCAGCCTCCCAAGTGGCTGGGACCACAGGAGCATGCCATCATGCCTGGCTTTCTTATTTTTTGTAGAGACAGGGTCTCACTATGTTGCCCAGGCTGTTCTCAAACTCCTGGGTTCAAGAAATCCTCCCACCTTGGCCTCCCAAAGAGCTGGAAGATACTTCTTTATATTGGTCCACAAACCACCTCATTTCCAGGGACAGGCACCTGCTTTCGGGTCACTAGAGGCAAGTAGTCCTTGTCTCACCCTGAGACCCTAGACACAGGTGCCCACGCCCTTGAGGTCACCTCTGTGAGCCAGGTCTCCCTGCCAGGAGCTGCCACCATGCTAAGCTGGGGTCAGCTGTGGGTCAGCGCTGGGTTCAAGGGAGGCTGGAGAGTAAGGGTTGGGCATTACCATCTCCAATGTCCCTAAACCCAAGAAAGGGGATCCAGCACTAGAGGGCCAGAAAGCTTGACAGTGTCCCCTCCATCTCTTTAGAGAGGACTTTGGGGGCCACCACCTCCTCCATTTACAGAGGGAATTCTCTTCCTAGCCGCCTGTTCTTTGCCCCTCCAGCCAGCCAACCCACAAACCATGCCACCCACAGTGAGAGGAAGCAGTGACCAGCACAGTGCCTGGTACACAGTAGTTGCTCAGTAAACAATTGGCTGGGTGGTTGAGCGAATGAGAGGGCCAGTGAGTGGACTGGCAAGGGCATGGAGGACTGGGTGCAGAGAAGCCCTACAGGCAGGCCCAGACATAGATGGGCAGGGCCAACTTGGGCCAGGCTTACTGGTGGAAACAGGCTGGTGGGAGTGGGTGGGGCAGGGGCCAAGCAGCCTTTAGCTGGGAGGCCAGCTCCTCCCACTGGTAGCATTCCCAAGGTAGCTGGGGACCCTGGCTTACCACCTCACCTCAACCCCCAAATAAAGGACTAGTTTTCTCCTAGCCAGCCTGCCTCCCACGGTGCCAACAGCAATTCTCCTATACAAGAGTTCTGAGCTCTGTGCTGGAGGTGATAGCTGGCCAGTGTGGGCTGGCTAGGAAAGGGTTCATCCCCCTTCCTTCTCCAATCTGACTGCCCAAATTTGCGCTCGCTCTCTCTCTCTCTCTCCCTCTCTGTCACCATCTTGGTTCAGCAAGAATGGTATCCATGCACTTGGCCTGATTGTAGGAGCTCATCCCCTGAGCGCTGTCCTCTGTTGGAGCTGGGATGGAGGCATCTGTCCATCGCTGTCCTATTCCCTCAGGACCTACACCACATCTTAGACAAAATTGCCTCTGAATCTGCCTTCTTCCCCCTTCTGCATCACAAACTCCTTACAAGCAGGGATACAGTGACACGTATTTTTGCATGCCCCTCAATTCTCAGGTGTCAACGAGTATTTGTGGAGTGTACAAAAATTTCCAATAATAGGAAAGAAGAAACTGGCTGTGAATAACTGAAAATAGACGAGATTCTGAAGAGTCCTAGAGCCCAAAGCACTTGATAATTTCTAAAAGAATAGATTTCAGTGTCTTTCTACCAGATTTATTCGTGGAAATAAAAAAAGGCTACATTTAGGCAGGAAATGTGACATCAGGTAGCAGGCTGAATATGGAGCAAGACCCAGCAAAAGCCTGAAGAAGAATCTCAGTAAGGTGTGGATGAGCTGTTTACTCCTGTTTCCAGAACAATGGAGCTCCCCATTGACGTCAATGGGAGGGAAGAAACAAAAGAGCCTTTGGGTGTGTGCAGGGCGCAACCGGGCCTGGGTTTGCTTGGCATTTCTGTGTGTCTGTGTTAGGGAGAGGGGGCGGGGAGTGTGTTGAGATGTCAATGTCAGAGGAACAGGAGGAGGGGCCACCTGACAGTGTGTGAACAGCCTGCAGGCCTCCCTGGGCTTCTGTGGGAAGGGCTGCCCTGATGAACTTGGTATTTGCCCTGGTTTGCATCTCAGAAGTTGCACACACACACCTTGTCAAGTAGAAGGGAAAGAGTTATCACACTCAGGAATTCCTGATGTGGGTTAATAACTTTTCCTTCTGTCCCATCCCTGGTCCCCAGGCGAGTCCAGGTAAAGAAGAACAAGAAGAGTAAAGAGAGATGCTGCGGGTTCCAGCTTCCTGGACAATCTCGCCTTCCCCATGAGAGTCTGCACTTTCAGAGTCTGCTGCATGGGAGCCTGCAAGCTCCTGCCTGTCCTGTAAGTCTCAGGCTTCTACCCAGACCAGGGGAAATTGTACTCTCTCTCCTGACACTTTAAATGGAAGTTTAGAGGCTCATCATGCCCCAAACAATACTTACTGAAACAGCAAACCCTCAGACAAGGTGATGCACGCTGCCGCACTGGCTCCCAGGACAACCTCCCACCACGGGCTTCTCCGTCTCTACTGCTTGCACCTTCCTAAGGTGTCCCTTTCTCAGGGTCCATCCTACCCGCCCTGGAAGTGCTGCCTTTCTCACGGAGCCTGTGGGGATAGCTCTGGTTAATTTATAGCCCACATCGCCCAATTTAGCATTTGATTAAGTTTCCTTTTTATGAGACAGTCCTTTCTCCCTAGTGATGCGCTTGGGGGCAGAGACAACATCATTTCTTTCTTTTGTACCTCCCCAGAGTAACAGTGACTCTATTTCCTGAACCAAAAATTGTAACACGTGGTAACTGCCGGGACAAGTGTGGACCACAGGCACCTCTGAGGCCCGGGTGGGCGTGCCCCAGCAGCTGCTGCAGGGCGGTGCAGCCACCTTCTCCTAGGCTGCTCTGGGGCCCGGCGATGAATGAGTGAATGAGTAAATGAATGAATGTGTGAATGAAGCATGCCGCGCAGACTTTCCCGCGGCCCTGGCCGCTGGGGGCGCGCCTCTGGCCGGTGGCCGGAGGTGGAGGTTTCCCTGGTCCGGCTTCGGGGCGCCGGGTCGGCCAGGCCAGCCGGAGGTGCACAGGAGCCCCGCGCCCAGCTCCCCCGCCCGCAATGGTACGCGCCACTCCGCGCTCCCGGAGCTGGCGGACTCGAGGGCGTCGTGAATGGAAGGCGCCGACGCCGGAAGTGGATGAGACCACTAGGGAGGACGACGGGGGGCACGAACGCGCCGCGTCTCCATTGAAGAACCGACGAGGTGAACATGGAGTTCCATGTGCGTCTTATGTAAAAAGAGCGACGGGCACCGCCACCAATGGGCGCGCGGCGCTAGTGGGCCCCGCCCCTCGTGTATGCAGATGAGACGGTGTCGCGGCCAATGGCGGACGCCGGGGGCGGGCGCGGCGCGCGCGGTCACGTTTTCCACTATGTGACAGCGGCGACTCGGCCGCGGCGGAGGCGGCGGCGCTGAGGGGCTACGTGCAGCTGTGGGCGGTGGTGGCGGCGGCGGCAGCGGGCGCGGGGCCGGGCGGACAGAGCCACGAGTCGGCGGAGGGACCGGCGGACGGGCCGACGCGAACGCGGCCGGGCGGCAAGTGGCGCGGCGCGGCCCCGCTGCGGCTTACGTAACCGCCGCCCGCGCGTTGGCCTCGGGCAGGTCGGGGTCCCGGCGCCGCCAGGAGTTCCCTGGGCCGCTGGACTCCTCTGCTTGAAACGGCGCCGGCGTGGGGGCGTGTGCCGTTGGCCCTGTCTCAGGTGGAGGGCGGCCGAGCTGCGCGCAGGGTGCGCTCGTTTGAATTGCGCTGACACCGCGGGTTGGGGACTCGAACCCCCGTTTCGCAGCTCAGGAGCCTGAGGTCCGAAAGGTGAGGCGGCAGCGTGTGTAGGGCACCGAGTTGCTGAGTGACTGCGCGTGGGCTGCGGTTCCGTGGGCGATTCTCTTTTGGGAACCCTCCCTCCCCTCCCGTGGGGAAGGCCAAGGAAATCAGGGGTCAGCGCAGCAGGCCCTGGGATCTGGAGGCCCCTCGGGTAGCTGACTGCTTCCTCTGAGGCCACAGGGCCAAGTCCTGGGCTGGGGAAGGGCCGTGGAAGGGCGCTGATCTAGGAGCTTTTCCTGGACACCCACGGGTCTCCTGGAATGGGTGATCAGAGGGACAAGGAAGTCCCTGTGCCAAGCCAGGCCTGGGAACCTGAGGGCAGGGAGACTGCCTGATGTTCGCCCCTTTGCCTCCCCTGGACCACCCTGTATTAATTCCCTCTCCCCGGACTGGATAGAAAGGAATGGGGGTGTCCACTCTTTGGTGCAGCAGTCGCACCTACCTTCTGGGATGTACTTTGGCTGCCAAGTCCCAGACATAGACCAGGAGGTGGGAGGTGGCCTGCTTCCCCCTTCAGGAAGGCCAGGGTAAGGGATGACGAGTTGGTTGCCAGGGTTTCTGTAACCTACACAGAAGGAACCCGTTTGGAAAGCTGATTCATACAGAACAACAGAGCCAGAAGGCACCCTGAAAATCACCCAGAGTAACCCCTCAGCCTGACAGATGAGCAAACTGAGGCCCAGGCCCAGGCTGTCTGCAGGATCTTCCCATCGCCCTGGGGCAGGATGAGCTTCAGAGGTTCAGTGAAGGCCTCAACTTGGGTGCTGAATCCTGGGTGGGCTGTAATTTGGGAGGAGGGGCCTTAAGTCCGGGAAGTGTGTTAAGAACCCCACACCATGGCCAGAGCCCCACATGGACCCCTCTCACTTTTATATGGCACAGCAGGATCACTAGACTTCTTGGCTTCTGAGGGGAGATGCCAACTTCTACCCCGACCTGGGGCTTCTGGTCCCAGACTGGGTGTGCTTGAGAAGAAAATAGGACTCTACCTGAAGGCTTTATTTGGAAATTGAGTTTTAAAATACAAGGTGAATTGAGTTTTGTGTGCTATATGACTGTAATGAAGAAAGGGACTCCGTTGTTTTTTTTAAGTGGAAGCTGTGTGGTGTGCCAGCGTGGGGATGGTACCGTGGGTGTTTGCAGTTATCTGTCACTGTCGCCTTGGTGTGATTCATTGGTATAGAACTAACGCAGCCCTGGCTTTCTGTGGAGACTGGAGTGCCAGGTGGGAAGGGGGAGCCCTGCGTCAGCCAGCTGGCTGCTGCTGGGAGCCTTGGCTCCCAGTCTGGGCCTCAGTTTCATTTGTTCGGAGGGACTCAGATTGGGCAGTCTCAGAGGTCTAATTTAATTCTGAGGTTTTTGGTTTTCTGTTACCCTACAGTTGATTTTTCCCAAGTTTCTCGCAGGAGACAGAGGCTTCTGATATGCTCTTGCCTTTGGGCCAGGTAATGTTCCCCTGTGAGCCACATCTGCAGTGCTTACAAGGAACAAGGAAAGATTCCTCTCCTGTGCACTATTTCTCATACACACTGAACTTTCTCAAAAATACTGGTCGTCACACTGCTGTTTTTAAGCCATGATGTAACTTCACCAGGACTCAGCAAACCACGGCTCTGTCAGGTCATTGAACAGCTGGCAGGGCCACTTGGCGTTTAGTCAGAAGAAAGACAGGCTCTGGGTGTGCTTTTACCTTTTGAAAACTACTCTGGCAGAGTGAGCCAGAAACACACAATTCCATAAGCTTGGCAGAGACTGTCCCCACACTTCTGGAAAGCTGGCCAACCTTCAGAACCAAGGGAGAATCAGACAGTCTAGAGGGGGCCTGTGATGGGCCCCTCCCCAAGCCCGGGCACTCTCCCCTAGGGACCAGGCCCTCCTTTCAACTCATTATGCTCATCGTGTACACATTTGTAACAAGTTTGTTACCATATTTCCAAGTCTAGAACAAATTAGAAGCAGTAAATGAACAGCAGTGACGGGTGACAGGAGTCAAGGCCACTTGGTTTTCAGAGGCTGGTAGTTCCCAAGACAGAGTGGGCTGCTGTGCTGATCCCTCACCGGCCTCGAAGGGTTCCTCGTGCTCTTCCTGGGGTGACATAGAGGAATCAGAATCTGCTCTTTAAGAAACCAGGTGCAGGAGGAGCAGATGCCTCAGCTTCCCGCAATTCAGAGTAGCTCAGCCCCTGACCACTGGAGCTAGGAGGCTGACACTTTTGCCTTTCTTATTGCTGTAAAGTCTTGTAGTTCTAAAAATGTAAGGATTTAAAAGTCTGAATTGAGAGCATTAAAGGTGTCCTGGTGAGGCCAAGAGAATGCCTCCCTGGTGCACCTCCTTCCCTCCATATTTGGACAGCTGCGGTCACATTTTCCTCAGTTACCCAACCGTTGCCATGGAGAGCGCGGCTGTTTATTTAGCAGGACAAACATTTTCTGAGGATTACAGCAGGCTGGCCTCAGGGAGTTGGCTCCTACCAGGAAGTAGAAAACATGTTATAATATTTGGGGTTGTAAAATCCTGCAGCACTTGCAGAGACAGTACATGCTGTATGATCCTTATTATGTAAAGTTCAAAAGCAGGCAGAATTCACTAGGCTGCGAGAAGCCAAGCTAGTGAGTCCCCGTGGGGTAGACGGTGGCTGGGAGGGCCACAAGGAGCCTCTGGGGGGCTGGCAGTGTCCTGCGTCTGGTGACATGTGACATGGGTACGTTGTTTGTGGATATACATCAAGCTGTGACCTCATGAGGTGGGACTCCTCTGGTAACTGAACACTGATTTCTGATTTCCACAAAAAAATGCGTTTCCGCCTTAGGGTGTGAGGGTATGGAGTACAGTAAGACTTCACCAGTCCTGGCAGTGGCAGTGGAAGCTGGAACTGGGTCCCAGGCTGTGCTTTCATTCCTAATTTTTAAACACTATTATGGAAAGTATGAGTATCTATGAAAGTAGGGAGGATAGGGTAACGAACCCCTGTGACCCCCCAGCCAGTAGTTGCTGCTCCTGGCCCCTCTCCTTCTCCACCCCCACCGGCTGCTTTGCTTTCTGACCCCAGGCTCTCCGTTCTTGTCGTGCACTGTACTTTCTGAATGGTGCTCTGTCAGGTTGAGGCAACCTCGCTACCACAAATATGGCCAAGTGACCTGGTCAGGGGTCCGAGCTTAACCTGTTTCCTTGAGTCTGACTGTTCTTGTGGGCAGAGCCAGTGCGCAGACACGTGAAGGGGGCCTCAAGGGCAGGTTCACGCCCAGAGGCTCATGTTGGCTTCTGGCAGCCCCTTTTCCACCAGGCTGTCATTTTCCGTCCTGGGCTTTGGCACCCAGAGCAAATAAGTGCTTGCCCGCCCTTCCTCCCCCTACCTGCCACAAGGTAGAAACAGGTTTCCTAGGAGCTCACCAGGGACAGCTGGTCCAGCCAGCTCTGGGTACACATCTGTGGAAGGCAGGAGGCAAAGTCCACTTTGACAGGGCTGTTGGTTTTGCCACCTTCTCAAAATGAGGCTGGTCTATTAGAGCCGCCAGGGCTGAGAGACACATTTTCTGGAATGACGAAGTTTCTGATGATTTGGCTTTCACATTTCTGCCAAGCTTACTCTGTCCTCTTTGCAAAAATACTTATTTTCCACTTAAGGTAATGTCGGGGCACTAGTGGGTCGTATTCAGACAGGCTCACAGGGGCTGGACTTGGGTGAAAACCAGGAGCTGAGTGCAAAATAGTGAAAACCAGGAGAGCTACGTGCAAAGCGCCCAGGGCCCAGACAGCACGGTGGCTTCAGATACCTGATGCTCCTCCGAGGACTGCCTGGGCTGGGGGTGCCACTGAGTTCTTAGTCCTTTAAATACAAGAATACAAGCCAGAGACAGCTACTGTGACAATTCACTCTCCGTCTTTTAAAATTACTTTTGTTACCCTTCTGTTTTTCTTTTCTTTTCTTTCTTTTTTCTTTTTTTTTTTTTTTTTTGAGATGGATTCTTGCTGTGTTGTCCAGGCTGGAGTGCAGTGGTGCAATCTTGGCTTATTGCAGCCTCCATCTCCCAGGTTCAAGCAGTTCTCCTGTCTCAGCCTCCCAAGTAGCTGGGACTACAGGCACACACCATGACGCCCGGCTAATTTTTGTATTTTTAGTAGAGACGGGGTTTCACCATTTTGGTCTGGCTGGGCATAAACTCCTTACCTCAGGTAATCCACTGCCTCAGCCTCCCAAAGTGCTGCGATTACAGGCGTGAGCCACCGCGCCCAGCCCCCTGTCTGTTTTTCTGTAGTGATTAGCAGTGATAATACAAGCTAATATTACAGTCCAGATACCTTGCATGGATTGTGTCATTTAACCCTTCTAACAACCAGTAGGAGGCAGAAACTACTGTTGTCCCCATCTCACGAATGAGGACACAAGGCACAGAGAGGTTAAGGAACTTGTCCGAGATCACACACTTAGGAAGTGGTGAAACCCAGCTGAAACCCAGGCCATCCAGGACCTGTCCCCTTAGCCACTCTGCTGCTACCTCTGATCACCTTAATGACTCACTCAGAGCATAAAGGACCAGCTGCTTGTCTGGGGGAGGGCTGTGGGGATGAGATGGGTGGTGTCCAGGATGTTGGGGGGGGTCAGGAGTGACAGAATGCCCTTGGTACCCTGGACAGCCTCTTGGCAGCTCCACTGAACCATGGCAAGAGCGCCCTGAGAGGTCTCCTTGTTTCCACCTTGCCTCAACCCTGCAACTCCATTGAAGTGTAAGTCACATCTTGTTGCACAGAGCTCTCCACGGTTTCCTATCGGAGTTCTGACTCTGCCCCCGCAGGGCACTCCGTGATCTGGCCTTGCTGCCACCCTCCTACCCCTGCCCGCTCTGCTCCAGCCTCGTGCACCATCCTCAGACAGGTCAGGTGCTCGCCTGCTGTAGGGCCTTTGTGTGTGCTGTCCCCCTGCCTAGAATGTTCTTCCTTGTTCTTCCTCTGGTAGCCCACTCTCCACGCTCTCCAGCTCTGCCTTCAG